CATTTATATAAAATATATGAACAGACAGAAAGGCTTTTAGTAAGCTATAGACATGTTTATTTTCCTGTTTAATGTGTGTGTAGTGGTTGTCCAACAATTTCACACACTAAACATTTACAGATACCATACAGACACTATACATTACTATCAAACAAAAGTACTATCATCAGATCATATGGGAGATTGTGATCATTTATAGTGATAATAATTAAAGCGCAGAGGGGAAAAGGCTTAAATATATGTGCAGGCAGTATAGACTTTGAAGTAAAGATTATTTGCAGTTCAGTGTACATATTTAAATTCTGTGTCACTCATTAAATGGTAAGTAAATGTAACGTTTGGGTTAACTACCCCTAAGGTTAGTTTTTGATTAAAATACATGTCTTAACCCATCATTAGTCCTCTTTGCTCAAATAAAATGAAAACTTTACGATGGTGTTGTCTCGACAATTAGAAAAATAAAAAAATAGTGTGAAACTGATAACGCCAGCAAGAAGAGAGAATTACTTCTAATTTACTCATGACCATAGACACTGTTTGAAACACCTCGCACATGTAATCATATTATATAATGCATACGTAAATACAAATAAATGTTATTTTATAAAAAAATCATATAAAAAACTCAAGGATTTTAAATCCTGATGATCGTTAAACGCGTCATAACAGTGTTGTGAAAAGGGTGTAATTGTTAAAAATAGGTACAAACATCAGATATAAACAAAAACCTAAACAAACACTTCTATGTACATAACGTCATAAAAATACTTGTTTTATTTACCTCGCGCTGCCCTCCTTGTACTGCCGTGAACAGGAAATTTTGGGAATGGAGGACGGAGAGTTGAATCGATTCGTCTTCAACAAACCGATCAGTGTGACATCAAAACATCGCGAGAACAACAGACAGCTCCGTGTGCATTTGTATCCATCTCGCGATATTGTATCACTTCAGGTACGCGCCTACTGATTCGTTGATTCAAACGAGTTGTGAATCAAGAAGCCTCTAAAGATCCGAATCAAACTGCAGCAGCACGCCACGAGGTTTTGCTCAGACTTTTGGGACGTTTGGAATTGCTCCGTCTTGTCACCATGTAACACATGTGAGTAAATCGTTGTCAGTAAATAAGGCGATTGTTACGATTAGAAATTGTGCATTAACCAGATTATATTTATTTTGTTTCATTTGTTTTTAGCGTAACATTAACGTTAGTTCATGGCCGAATCTAAACGGCCAGCAGCGAATATTTACCAATGTTTACTGTCGTTTACTTTGCACATCTTAGAAATGTTGCCAAAGTTCCTATGGATTTAGTTTCTTCATGTCATTCCAGAAAGACTGGATGATGAGCAGGTCAGATCTCTGTGGCTGTTGTCATACTGACTGTGCAGACGATTTTCTCCCTTTATACGTTAATTACAGCAAAGTTAATGACAAAATTAATGTTTGGAAATGTAAATTAATATTTTCTGTAGCATGCCAGTTTGATATATCAATAGCCCCCCCCCCCCACCCCACCCAATTACTAGTAACGTTTGCCTAGGACTTTAGCACAGTAGCCTACTATTTAAGCCTTTTCCCCTCTGCGCTTTAATTATTATCACTATAAATGATCACAATCTCCCATATGATCTGATGATAGTACTTTTGTTTGATAGTAATGTATAGTGTCTGTATGGTATCTGTAAATGTTTAGTGTGTGAAATTGTTGGACAACCACTACACACACATTAAACAGGAAAATAAACATGTCTATAGCTTACTAAAAGCCTTTCTGTCTGTTCATATATTTTATATAAATGCAGAGCAGCAAGACCCATGGGATTTCATCAGCCACTCACCATCAGAGTCCTCAGTGGAAGCTGAGAAGAGCAGAAGAGGAAGCCAAGCAAGAGATGCCAGAAAAAAAGGGGGAAGGAAATAATGTGTTATTTTGCTGTTTGAGTATAGGCAGGCGCAGTGGGTAGCACAATCGCCTCACAGCAAGAAGGTCGCTGGTTCGAGCCTCGGCTGGGTCAGTTGGCATTTCTGTGTGGAGTTTGCATGTTCTCCCCATGTTGGCGTGGGTTTCCTCTGGGTGCTCCCACAAGTCCAAAAATATGTGGTGACATTGGGTAAGGTAAAATTGTCCGTAGTGTATGTGTGTGAATGAGTATGTATGGATGTTTCCCAGTGATGGGTTGCAGCTGGGTGGCAACACGGTGGCACAGTAGGTAGTGCTGTTTCCTCACATCAAGAAGGTTTCTGCATGGAGTTCTCCCTGCGTTCGCGTGGGTTTCCTCCGGGTGCTCCGGTTTCCCTCACAGTCCAAAGACATGCGGCACAGGTAAATTGGGTAGACTAAATTGTCCGTAGTGAATGCGTGTGAGTGGGTGTGTATGGATGTTTCCCAGAGATGGGTTGCAGCTGGAAGGGCATCCACTGCGTAAAACATATGCTGGATAAGATGGTGGTTTATTCCACTGTGGCGACCCCAGATTAACAAAAGGACAAAGCCGAAGAGAAAATGAATGAGTATAGGCAATGATAGACAAGACAATGTTTGATTAATATGAAGTCTTTTAAAATGCTTATTTATTAAAATAAAGGTTACAAAGTAAAGAAGAAATATATTGTGTGTTTGTATATTTATTTCACTGCCTTCAAAATTTTACATTGTAAACTAAAGGGAACAAGGGGGGAACAAATGTTGTATTTACCCTTTAACTACAGGTAACAAGAGAGGAACAAAGCTTCACTTTAATTTACAACCCTCAAATGTGGTATTTACCCTGTAAGTACAGGTAACAAGGAGGTAACAAGAGAGGAACAAAGCTTCACTTTAATTTACAACCCTCAAATGTGGTATTTACCCTGTAAGTACAGGGAACAAGGAGGTAACAAGAGAGGAACAAAGCTTCACTTTAATTTACAACCCTCAAATGTGGTATTTACCCTGTAAGTACAGGGAACAAGGAGGTAACAAGAGAGGAACAAAGCTTCACTTTAATTTATAACCCTCAAATTTGGTATTTACCCTGTAAGTACTGGTAACAAGGGAGGAACAAAGCTTCACTTTAATTTACAACCCTCAAATGTGGTATTTACCCTGTAAGTACAGGGAACAAGGAGGGAACATATACTGTATTTACCCTTTAACTACAGGGAACAAAGAGGGAAGAAGCTGAACTTTAACATACTAGTGTATACTTGAACACTAAGAACAGAGTAAACTACAGCAGCAGTTTTTATTGATTGAAGACCAAATTACTAGATTTTTCTATAAAGCATCAGCTATACATTTACTGAAATGCAACAGTTAGCCCCCCTGTGCAACAGCAGTAAAGATGCGAGCCTGTTTTAATCTGCATTGAACCCTGACGGTAGGCCTATGCCATGCAAAGTTATTTGTTGATAGTGAGTTATGGAGACATTGATGGCTTTGGTGAGATCGACGAGTAAACATAAGGTAAGTAGTGTATGGAAATATATTTTATATTGAATTGCAGATTTAAAATACATACAGTATACAATAAGGGTTCATAATTTCACAGGTTGTAAACCTTTTATTCATTAAACACCCCATATAAAACCCAAGCACTGAATAAGAGTACTAATGTACTCACGCAGGTGCATATACAGTACATTTGCAGATAGCAATAGGTTGTCACCATCCTTGCATAATTCTTTATATACAATACTTGAAGAAATGTACATCGTAAACTTAATATACTTCTTTGCGTGATGGATATCTTATTGTTACTCCCCTTTTACGCAAACATTATGGTTTGTTCTTTTGCAATTTAAAACGTTATTTCACTGTACTTACGCGGTACCTTTTATGCTAAATATCTGGTTGTTACCCCCTTATTACCCGAGCATTACAGTTTGTTCCCTTATACTTACGTAAACGTTATTTATACTTACACTATAGGTACAGAAAAGTACACCGTTATTTCACTGTACTTACGCGGTCATTTTCGTGATGAACATCTGGTTGTTACCCCCTTTTTACCCAAGCATTACGGTTTGTTCCCTCATACCTACACATACGTTCATTATACTTACACAGTACGTACAGAAAAGTACACTGTAATTTCACTGTACTTACGCGGTACTTTGCGGGTTGTAAAAGAAAGCGTTACCGAATTGTGCGCACGGACCCCACGTGGAAATTTTCCTAGTCTATGTGTGTTTTAACCAATCAGGTTAGAACACATATATGTTTGACGCAGTTACGTGAGAGTATAATTGTTATTGATTGGTGATTGTAAGCAGAGCGGCAAAGGAACTCATTGCGAGTGTTGAAGCTGGCTTCTGCTGATGTAACTGCAAACTATCTTCAGTAAAACTTGATTTATTTATTTAAATCTCTGACTCCGGCTCTTCTTCATCTACCAGACTGGTCATTCTTTGGGTCCATCTGTAAACTATCCCTACACAGTGTAGGGGAATCCTGGCTGTGTGCTGGCCAGTTTATTTGCATAATAAAGACACTAGGCTAGTTTTAATTTAAAACTTTAACAGATTTACAGATTTAACTGATTTTTTTCTAATGGTATATAACACTTTTGTATTTAATTATTCTCATATTTCTTTAATCTAAATGTTTAGGAAATGTTTTTGACACATCAAAAAGTGTGGTTTTGATGACCATCAAATAAGCTAATCCAGCTAAAGATAGTGCTTAAAATGTCTATAAAATTCAGGATTTAAACCTCTTTATTAAATAGAAAATGAGGTGAATAACTGCAAAAAGGTCCACTTTTTAAAGAATCACCTCTTTCACCAGGCTGGCTGCAGGCCTGAAATGTAAATATGATTTAAATGTTTTTAATATGTTTATAAAAGTTTAACATAAACCTTTTGTGTTAGTCCTGTGGATTATGTTTAGGTGTGATTCCTCAATATGTTTGTAAAATTGTTCATTTAAAAGCAATTTAACCTGGTTTATTTTCTGCTCATTGACTCTCTGTATTCGTACAGCCGAATTATTGTTTCTTTGTTCTTTCTGTCCAATCAGTGGTGCAGATCAGATCCTGTTTCATAATGGACGACAAACAAATATCCAGAGATGAAAATGTTTCTCCAGGATGCAGGTACTTTGAGATTATTACACAAGTAATGGAGAGAATAGAAAACTGCTGTGAAGTTAATGTACTGCACAAATGTAGACCTTTACAGTGTACTGTTTGATTAAAAAGTGCAATTTTAAAAATTTCTAATCTTATTTAAATATAATATAAATAGTGATTAAGATGAATTGGTCTGTTATTTTCTGTTATAGTTTAGTTCATCAGAAGAGATCAGATCCAGAGCCCAGCTGTGTGTCTATGAGGAGTGACTGGTCTATGGATCATCCAAATAATTTTGGAAGTGAAAATACACAGATTGATCTCAGGTATAAGATTTCTACTGAAGATACTGTAGAAACTTTAATGCTACAGTGTTTTTGTTGTATATTATATGTAGTGTCACAAATGACCATTTTGTCACTTGAGGTGTTGTAGGGTTGTTTCTGACGCGTGAGATCTCAACAAACGAATCATCTTCCAAATACTGCTAATCAGATTTATTTTTTTGCACAGACAGTTCTTATGGCTCAATTTCCACTTACAGTCTGGTATATAAATGCTCATAAAATCACATTGAATGCCTCCATAAAGCTCTTTCAAACAAGGTCAAAAAATGTTGTGCTTCCCTCTAATTACACACCTGCTGTTCTAAGTCTTTGTCTACCTATATACTCCTCCAAACCCACACTCCACCCAGTGATCAAAAACAGCATTACAACAAACATAATGGCTCTTACACCCTGGCCCCTAATTGTACATGGCAGGTAGACATAAAAATTCAACAATGTTCATACAAAGAGCCATTAAAGCAATACTATAAACATTGCATTAATCAATTCTGTGTAGGTTAAAACTGAACAGTCTTTACCATCAGTCCATTATATTTCCATGTTGTCATACAACAGACAAAGTTTTGTCACGGGTCTCTCAAGTACACTGGTTTTAGTTTGTACTCGCACAGAATGAACAAGTCCATTTTTATCTGGAAAAACCTCCAGAATTCGCCCCATTAACCAAGACCCTCGAGGGGCAGACGAGTCCACAATGACAACAATGTCACCAGGAACAAAGTTTCTCCTTTCCTTATTCCATTTTTGCCGATCTTGAAGCAAAGGCAAATATTCATTTGTCCATCTTTTCCAGAATAAGTCACACATATACTGGACCTGTTTCCATCTCCTCTTGCTGTATAATTCAGATTTATCAAATAATCCAGGTGGTAATACTGGTTTATCTTTCATCTGAAGAAGATGGTTTGGAGTAAGTGGCTCCAAATCATTGGGGTCATCTGACAACTTAGTTATTGGGCGATCATTTAGAATGGCCTCAATTTCACATAGTACAGTATGGAATCCTTCATCATCCAAAATCTGCTCTCAAAATTCCTTTGACCATTCTGATTACACGTTCCCAGATTCCACCGTAATGCGAACCTCCTGGAGGATTGAAACTCCACTGGACACCTTTCTGGAGCATTGCCCTTTGAATCTTGTTTTGATTCCATGATTTCAGTGATTCCTTTAATTCTTTTTCTGCGCCAACAAAGTTGGTACCATTATCTGATTTTATTTGAGTTACTTGCCCTCGTCTGCAGATAAATCTTCGAAGAGTGTTGATACTTGAATCAGTGTCCAACGAGTAGGCGACTTCCAGATGAACTGCTCGACTTGCCATGCAAGTAAAGATGACTCCATAACGTTTTACAATAGAGCGTCCTCTTTTAACTTCCACAGGACAAAAAGAATCCACCCCAAGATTCGAAAATGGAGGCAAATCGGGAAGGAGTTGTTCCTTCGGCAAGTCTGCTATCTTCTGCTCACCCACCTTAACTCCAAAACGTCTACAATGGCCACAACTCGATATAATCTTTCTGGCAGCTGCATTACCCTTAATGATCCAATATCTTTTCCTCAGCTCTGAAAGCATATAATTTCTTCCACTGTGACCTAATTGTTGGTGTATATGCCGCAAGATGAGCATGGCAATATGCTGATCCTTAGCCAGAATGATCGGATGCTTTCTTTCTTTGGGCATAGCAGAATTTCTCAATCGTCCTCCTACCCTCAAAATACAATTTTGAAAGACGGGATCCAATTTATACAGCTTGCTGTCTCGGCTTATTTTTCAAACAGGTGAAACTGACAGAGCATCGATTTCCTTTTTAAACTGTTGCCTTTGACTGAATGCAACAATAGCTACTTTAGCTTCATTCAAATCCTGCAAACTTAAATTTGGTGTAACCACAGAACCAGTTAGTTTTCAAAGCTCTTTCTCTGTCTTTTTAGAAGTTACTCCAGAAGAGTCCAAAGAGGCTTGAATTTTCTTTCTCTTTTGACTTCGTTGTTTCAGAACTGTCTTTAATTTCAAGAGCCAAGCAACAGCAACTTTTAACTTTGTCCAGTCTGAGAAATGAGTAATCAGCCTATGAGTAGCATGTGACTGTTCACTTACAAGAGTGCTATTTACACACATGTTCCTCTTGACTTCAGGATCATCTGCTTTAAGAGTAGAATCAAATATTTGTGCTGGCCATTCTTCCACTGGTTTCCACAGATAACTTGGTCCATTGATCCATTCTCTTGTTTGTTAACAGCAGATCTGCTTTCAGACCTCTGGAGCAACAGTCTGCTGGATTTTGAGACGTAGGTATGTATCACCACTGTAATGGTGTTGTAATTTCTCTTATTGCAGAGATCAGAGATTGGCGACAAAGGTAAGAAAATGTTTGTCCTCATTTTTTATGTATTTCAACACGGACGTACTGTCTGTCCAGAATACTGAATCAACCAATGGAAACTGCATCTCTGCCCTTAACATTTTGTCCACTCGAGCAGCAAGCACAGCAGCTGTCAGTTCAAGACGTGGAATAGTTACTGATTTCAAAGGTGCTACTCTAGCTTTACTGAGTAGGAATGTTACGTGGACATCATGTTTTGTCTCCATCCTAAGGTACGTCACAGTGCCATATCCAAGTGTACTTGTAAAATGATGAAACTGAACGTTGGTAAGTTCATCCATTCCTGCTGGTTTTAGACATCAGTCCATCTTGAAATCTGCCATCTTCTCAAGCTCTTTTAACTATAAAGACCACTACCTTTGGAGATTTGAGGGTAGCAGATCATCCCATCCACATCTTATCCTTCATAACTCTTGCTGGAGAATTTTTGCTGTAAGGGTGAATGGAGCCAAAAATCCTAAAGGATCATAGACAGAGCATACCTTTGACAGGACACCACGCCTGGTGCAAGGATGATCTTTGCTAGTTATTTTAAAATTGAAAGTTTCTGATTCAACACACCACCACAAACCAAGAGCTCTTTCCATTGGCAACTGGTCCTTGTCCAGATCCATCATTTTTATGCCCTGGGCTCTGTGTTCTTCAGGTATACTTTGTAGCACAATACGGCTATTGCTGATCCATTTTGTTAGCTGGAAACCTCCTGCTAAGCAGACATCTGTGAGATCCTTGATCATCAAGACGGCTGCTTCCTCGGAAGGTACACTTTTTAAACAATCATCCATGTAGAAGTTTGTGTAAATTGTGTCAATTACCTTTTCAGGAAAGTCAACTTTGTTGTCCTCAGCAGTTCTACGTAAAGCATAGCAAGCAAAACTTGGGGACGACAGAGCACCAAACAAATGCACTTTCATGCTGTATTCCACAGAGTCCTGATTGATATCACCATCTGGCCACCATAGGAAACGAAGAAAGTCAGTATCTTCTGCTGCAACTTTAACCTGGTGAAACATTGCTTTTATATCAGCCATAAATGCAATAGGCTCTTGTCGAAACCTCACAAGAACTCCCAACAGTGAATTTGTAAGATTAGGACCCTGCAGAAGCTGATCATTCAATGATGTACCTTTAAAGGCAGCTCCACAATCAAACACCACTCTTAATGTTTGCTTCTTGGGGTGATAAACCCCATGGTGAGGGATATACCAAACTTTAATGTCCATCTTTAAACTCAATTGACTTGCTTACCTTTTCCATAAATGCATGCTCTTCTCTTGACATTTCCTTCTTTTCAACAGCATTCTCATTAAAGTCATGCTTGTATTGTTTACTGAGCATATCCTCCAATTTTCTTACAGAAATCCTGTTAACAGTCACATCTTAACATTTGACCTAATTCTTGCTTCCTTGGAGTGGTCCATTTACAACCCATTCCAATAGGGTTCTAACTGCATAAGGTCCATCTCCATTGCTGTTTATAACCTCCCAGGACTCCATTACCCTGGAAGCATTTGCTCCAATCAGCAAATCCACATCAGCAGGAATAAGAGGAATCTCAACACCTTTCAGATATGGCCAATTTTCCAAATCCTTTTGAGTGACAATGTTGTCTCTGGATACAGGCATTCTTTCTTGAGTGAAGACTTCTGGAAGACTATAAAAGGTGTCATCAAGAAGGTTAGACACTTCCAATCCAGTCAAAACAGTGCTATTAACCGCCCTTTGATTGCCCATTGTTTTCAAAACAATATTAGTTTCCTTTCCCTTTAATTTCAAACTGTGCATTAAGCGTTCTGGACAAAATGTGGTAGAACTGCCAGGATCCAAAAATGCATAGGTTTGAATTACCGTTTGTCCCTTACTGGATTTGACTTGAACTGGTACAATTGATAATGCACAATGTCTCCATCGTCACCGGCCCCTGTTTGACCACATGTTGTAAGGGCAACATGTGCACTACTTGAAGATGAATGACTTTGTTCTTGAGTGCACACTCTTTCCTTTTGTTGGATATGCAAAATGCTGGGATGCTTTTGACCACACACTGCACAAGTCAAGCGCTTATCACATCTTTTGCTTATGTGTCCAAAAGAAAGACAGCCAAAACAAACACCTTTTTCCTTTAGAAAGTTCAATTTGTCTTTATGCAGCTTGTTTTGCATTTGTGTACACTGCTCCAATAAGTGATCATGTTTGCAGCACAAACATTTAACTTGGGCCTTTGATCTTAAATCAGTCTCACAGCATTGAATTGATTTATTGTTGGTAACAACCGTTGTTGCAAAGCTGTTTCTAACTTTAGTCTTAGGTTGGGATTTCTGTTGTACAGGCTGGGTACTCTGGGTATCACCAAACAAGGGATCTGATGACATTTTGAATTGACGTTCAACAAATATCACAATATTTTTAAACCGTGCTCTCTGTTTGCGTCTTTCCAATAACTCACATGCAACAGTTCTCCAATTTTCCCTTAATTTGTAAGGCAACTTCATGATGATGGTTTTCAAATTGCTTGGCATCTCTAGTTCCTCCATATAGTCAATTTCTTCCATTACATTACTGCATCCACGCAAAAAGGGAGCATAACTCTGCAATGAATTTACATCCTCAGATTTTATTGAAGGCCATGCCAAAACCTTTTCTACATATGCAGAAGCTATTTTGAATTCATTGCCGTAATGTTCCTTTAACAATGCCTTAGCTTGCACATACCCTCTTTGTGCATCCATATGCTGACAACTTCGCACAATCTCCCTTGGCTGACTTTGTGTATATTGTTCCAGAAAGTATAAACAATCTCTACTATTTTTGGTTTTGTCTTCTATTCCATGCTCAAATGCTCTCATAAAAGTTTTATATTGCAGAGGATTGCCATCAAACACAGGAATATCTCTTTGAGGCAGTGTGCTGGATTGTTGTTGTTGTACAAGCAGAGTAGTAATCTCATTTTGTTTTTGCAAGATACCACAAAGGTTTGAAGTTATTATTCCATCACTATTCTGCATTACACTTGATTGCATTTGTGACGTGAAATGAGGATCAATTTGTGGCACTGTGAATTTGCTGAATCACGTTCCTTGAGCTTCCTTGCAGGGAGACTTCTTTTGGCACATATGCCTCTGCATGAGGGTTGAGAGTAATGCTGCGTTCACACCAGACACGTCAAGCGCGAGTGATTTACATGTTAAGTCAATGCAAACGCGGGAATAGACATCCTGCGGTGCGATACGCGCGAATGATGCGGCGAGAATGACGTGAATGGCGCGGTGTGAATAGCTCGATACGCGAGAGGCAAATTGAGCGTTTTGCACGTTTGACGCGCTTAACGAGCATTTCGCGCGAATCTCTCAAATTCGAAAATCTGAACTTCAGCGGACATTCGCGCCACGTTAACCAATCAGAAGCTTGCTCTTGTGGGGGCGTGATTGTGACGTAGAACCTGTTGTCGGTGTTCCGAGGGAAATCCTCCAGCCTTCACCAACAACAGTTCATCAAACTCGGCTTGGCTCAGTCAGAAGCACCGCTGAAAGCCTCTGTCATCCAGGTTCAGTTACTGGAGGAGTTTATGAGCTCACAGAGCTGGATGCACCTCTGAAAGGATGTAGTGGACTCAGACACGACCCTAAACGTATTGACGCTGTTTTTCAGTCTTCATAAAGCACATAAACACTGTTATTTTCTTCATAAAATCCATGTTAGCCTTTTAGCAACAGTCACCGGGAAGACAGAAGCCCTGCTATCAAGCGAATCCGCGTCTGTTCTGAAGTGAATTTGACACGCGAATGAAGCGAGTAAACTCAAATGTTCACGCGGCTATTTACGCGTGATTTATCCGCGCGTTCCGCGTTTGGTGTGAACACAGTTCCTTTATCACAGTATGCATTCATATCATCAGTGCAGGTTTTGGGAGACTGATTATTTAAAACAGCAATTGTTGCAGTAGCGGCTGCAATCTCTGCATCAATATCCAGCTGTTCTTGTCTATGTCTCAGCTTTTCTTGTTGTACCTCCAAAGCATGCTTTTCCTTTAAAGCAGCTGCACGAGCCATTAATGCAGCTTTCTCTGCCTCTGCCATGATTCGTGCAGAAGCAGCAGAAGATCTCCCACTACGTACACTACTTGAACTTTTCTTACTGGACGATTTACTGGATTTACATGAGGAGATGTTGGAAATGCTATCATCTGGATTAACATCCTCTTGACATACCCTTTCATCAACACCAGAACATGAAACATGACTTTCAGCGCTCAACCATTTCTCAACATCATCTACAAACTCATCGCAAATCAACATCTTTCCGTTGAACCATGTTTGTTGTTTTTCCATTTCTTCACTGGGCAAAAAAACCATCATGGAATTGTGCATTTCCTTTGTTTCGTCTCTCAATTTGATGAATTTCTCAAAGGAACACTGCACCTCCTTTTCATTTTCTCGGTTGGACATAAAATCCTTTATAATAGCAATTAAGTTCTTTGCCTTGCTTAGTTTACACTTTCTTGTCTTTTGCAGAGTTTCCAATTTTTCCAATAAAGCCCTGAGCTTAATGAGCCGCTTTTCCCTCACATGCTCTGTTTCAACCTTCTCAAATGGCAAAATAGTCTCTGTCTGTTCACAGGTAGCCGCAACATCATCATTACAATTCATTAAACTCATATTCACAGTTGAAATATTTTGCCTCCTTAGCAGCTTTAAAACTTAAGCAACCAATGCATTGGATTTACGCTATTGTGTGCACACAAAGTCATTCATCAAGTAGCGCTACTCATACCTTTGTTTCATTCATTCAGTTCATCACGGCTGCTCCTCGAGAAAGTCCAAAAATGATGCATGATGATCCACAAAGAAGCCCTTTTTTGACAAATGTAGTGACACAAATGACCATTTTGTCACTTGAGGTGTTGTAGGGCTGTTTCTGACGCGTGAGATTTCAACAAACGAATCATCTTCCAAATACTGCTAATCAGATTTATATTTTGCACAGACAGTTCTTATGACTCAATTTCCACTCACAGTCTTATATATAAATGCTCATAAAATCACATTGAATGCCTCCATAAAGCTCTTTCAAACACTGTCAAAAAATGTTGTGCTTCCCTCTAATTACACACCTGCTGTTCTAAGTCTTTTGCTGCGTCCCAAATCGCATACTTATGCACTATTCTACGCCATTTTGTAGTATAAATAGTGTAAGTAGTGCGTTCACACTGAAAACTCTAAAAATAATAAGTGCACTTTACCCGGATGATGCACTCATTCAGCCGCTAAAATGAAGTGTGTAATGATGGACACTTCACACACTCAATGACCGCAGGTTTGCTTACGTAGCGGAAGGGGCGGAGCTATCGGACGCACATGTTGAATAACTTTATTTATTTTGGATGGTGAAAGCAATATTCTCCTACAAGAGTGATTATAGCGCCTCCCGATGGTGAATGCGGTTATACTCACGGCAGGTAATATTTGATAATTCGGTTGTTTATTTCACTGATTTGGCAACCGTCAAACGTCATCAGGGAGACGGTTTGAATTTCCTCTTAGTAAAAAAACATTAGTGTGCCATTTGGGACGACACTACATACGTATACTATCCTGTTGAGTGTGTAAGTGCATAAGTACATAGTGCATGAGTGCATAGTGTATAGTGTGCCATTGGGGATGCAGGTGTCGTCTACCTAATATACTCCTCCAAACCCACACTCCACCCAGTGGTCAAAAACAGCATTACAACAAACATAATGGCTCTTACATTATATTATCTCTATATTTTTTATTGGTCTCTAATATTTTAACTAGTGTTGCTCAGATGAGGATACTGTTTGTAAAATGCTCTGTTTCATTTTTTGTATGAACAGTCAAATGTTTTCAATAAGAACTTCCAGGATTTGTCTTGTGAAGTTTTTGTTTCTTTCCTTGTCATCCTTGTCTAAATAGTTTACTCTTTCCTGTGAGTAAATTACCTTTTGATGGTTAGTGTTAACATACAAGAGCTCGACCGGGATGTGTCTGCTACTTTTTAAACAGGATAATAAAGTTAAACTATTAAAATGTAGCTGTAATGAATTTGTTGTAGATATTTGTGGTACTTGATTTTAATAAAAATATAGAGGTTCTTAACAACAAATTTGTGGTCACCTTAAGTTTTTGTTTTTTCTAGAATTGCACATCTAGCACAATGTGAGAACAGTCAATTCTGTCTATAATTAATCTTACATTCTGTGAAAATGGCAATTTAAAGTAAACTATTTGTACTTTGTTTATTTGTATTTGTTGTAGTTCATTTCATCACAAGAGAACAGAAGCAGAGGCCAGCCGTGTGTCTATGAGGAGTGACACGTTTATGAATCATCCAATAAATATTTGGAAAGTAGAAGCACAGTGTAATATCAGGTAAAATCTTTCTTTAAAAGATTTAATTACAGAAATTAAAAAGGCAGCATGCTTATTAACTCATGTTACTGTGTGGATTTTCCAGACAAAACTTGCTGAACACATTTAGATCAAATCTGCTGAAGAAGTTTGAGTGTCTGTATGAGGGAACAGCGGCGCAGGGAAACCCAACACTCCTGAATGAGATCTACACAGAGCTCTACATCACAGAGAGTGAGAGTGGAGAGATCAGTCATGAGCATGAGGTGAGACAGATTGAGACACAATCCAGGAGATCAACAACAGAGGACACAGCGATCAAATGCAGAGACATCTTTACACCTTTACCTGGACAAGACAAAGCCATCAGAACTGTGCTGACGAAGGGAGTCGCTGGCATCGGAAAAACAGTCTCTGTGCAGAAGTTCATCCTGGACTGGGCTGAAGAGAAGGAGAATCAGGACGTCCAGCTCATATTTCCACTTCCTTTCAGAGAGATCAATCTGATGAAGGACAAAACACTCAGTCTGTCAGATCTTCTTCAGCTCTTTTTCCCTCAAACTAAAGAAATGGAAATATCCAGTGACAAATATAAAGTGCTGTTCATCTTTGATGGTCTGGACGAGTGTCGTCTTCCCTTAAATTTCAAAAGGATTAAGACTCTGAGGGATGTGACCAAAACATCATCAGTGGACGTGCTGCTGATGAACCTGATTGTGGGGAATCTGCTTCCCTCTGCTCTCATCTGGATCACCTCCAGACCAGCAGCAGCAGATCTCGTCCCCTCTGAGTGTGTCCATCGAGTGACAGAGGTACGAGGCTTCAATGACTCTCAGAAGGAGGAATACTTCAGCAAGAGAATCAGTGATCAGAGTCTGGCCAATACAATCATCTCACACCTGAAGTCCTCCAGGAGCCTCTACATCATGTGCCACATCCCTGTGTTCTGCTGGATCTCAGCCACTGTTCTAGAGAAGATGTTGAGTGAAGCAGAGACTGCAGAGATTCCCAAGACTCTCACTCAGATGTACACACACTTCCTGATCCTGCAGACCAACATCAAACATCAGAAGGACTATGAGAAGAAGCTGACAGATGAAGACATGATCCTCAAACTGGGGAAAGTGGCTTTTCAGCAGCTCATGAAAGGCAATATAATCTTCTATGAGGAAGACCTGAGAGAGTGTGGCATTGATGTGGCAGAAGCTTCAGTTTACTCAGGATTGTGCACTCAGATCTTCAGAGAGGAGTTTGGCTTGTATCAGGGGAAAGTCTTCAGCTTTGTTCATCTGAGCATTCAGGAACATCTAGCAGCTCTATATGTGCACCTCTCCTGTATAAACAATAACAGAGATGAGTTTGAGCAAATCAACAAACCGAGTTTGTGGTCTCAAGTTAAAGACTTGTTTCAGCTCAATTCTTTAGAATGTGTTTCATTATCCAAACTGAATCAGCGAGCTGTAAATGAGGCTCTAAAGAGTCAAAATGGACATCTGGATCTTTTCCTGCGGTTTCTTCTGGGTCTGTCAGTGGAGTCTCATCAGATTCTCCTAAAAGGACTAATGACACTGAAAAGCAGATCAATCCAGAATAATAAAACAGTCGAGTACATCAAGAAGAAGATCAGGACCATCGACTCTCCAGAGAAATCCATCAATCTGTTTCACTGTCTGAATGAACTGGGTGATCATTCACTAGTGGAGGAAATACAGCAGTTTCTAAAATCTGGAAGAATAAACAGAGCCAAACTCTCCTCATCTCAGTGGTCAGCTGTAGCGTTTGTGTTGTTGACATCAGAGAAGAAGCTGGAGGAGTTTGATATTAATGAATTTGTTGCTGAAAACAATAAAACTGAAAAACAGCTCATTTTTAAGAAGCTGCTGCCCGTGATTAGAGAATGCAGATCAGTTCAGTGAGTATTATTAGCTCTGTTTTCATCACCCTGTTTTAATTGCACCCTGTTTTTATTAATGCGCAGGGCCGTACGCTATGCCACTGTCAGTTCTGTCTTCATGTACTGATGTATTCACAGCTGCGAAATCATGTGATGTAAAAAATACCATTTTAACCAGTAGAGCTACACATAATATTATTGTTGTTGTTTTATCATATGTTTGAGAATAACAATAATAATAGCCCACTCATATTAACCTTTTTTTACATGTACAGAATCATGAGAAAATTATAATCTTTATTTTACGCAAAATAATCACGATTCTCATTTTAGCAAGAATCGTGCAGCTCTATTCTGAAGCTCTGCTTAAATACTGACTCCATTTTGATAACTGGTCAACAGCTGGTAGATTGAGTCAGAACAGATCAGGATATTTCTAGACAAACTGTGATTTCCAATTGAAATGTAGACATAAATATATTGTTTTTAATTGTGATTTTGTACATGGTAAACAAACAACAGATTTGTACCTGGTAAACAATTTAAGCCAAGAAGGGTCACAAAGAGGCGGCTGTAATTTCGCTACATTTCTCAAATGTTTGCAAGCATTTATTAGATTATCAGACATATTTGCATGAGCGAATCCCTTCATGGTGAGTAACAATTACTATGACAATGGTAATAAATTCAGCTTTGTTTACGCTTTGTGTTCATGCACAGCCGTTTGGTCCAGACCTCTATGGTCCAGATGCAAACCAACATGAAGCAACAACACAGTTCGGTTTCGTTGGTGCTACTTGTTTGGCGTCAGCCTTGTTTGTCCCAAACTGATGTGATGTGAGAGAGTGAAGAGTGTGTCGTTGTTCTCTACAGGTTGTATGATTGTGGTCTCACAGATGAAGGTTGTGCTGCTTTGGCTTCAGCTCTAAAATCAAACCCTGAACACCTAAAAGATCTGAATCTGTCTAGGAATAGACTAAGAGATTCAGTGACTCTTCTCTCTGCTGTACTGGAGGATCCTCACTGTAAACTGGAGAAACTGGGGTAAGATTATATTTGACTTTTACATGTGAAACGTAGTATAGAGTAGATGTAAATCCATACTGCATACAAATACAGTTAAAAGATTTTTCAGTATTTAAAAAAATATATACATATATAACATAATAATAATATACACTGGTAGACCTTACTGGGCTTATTTACAGTAGAATACTTTCAACACTGTTGCCAGCTACTCACTGTAAAAGTTTGGTTACAGTAATTAACTGGCAACAGTGTGCCGTAATAGAGCAGTAGTGGTAACTAACTGGAAACTGTGTACAGTTAATTACTGTTGTGTTACAACTTACAGCATTATACTGCATACACATTAATAGTATGTCATAGTGTTACTAAAGTTAATTAGTATACTTACCTGTTACTAAAAATAGAAGGCATAAAAATTCAGACAAATGTATTATATTGTTTTGGCAGCAAACAAATATACAACAGAAAATGTGTAACAAAATTAAGAAATCAGCAGATATAAATATCGTCTTACATATTACTGAGAGCCACAGGTCTGCACAGTAAGGCTGCGGTCACACTAACGTTTGAGCATGCGAAATTCTGTCATACGGCACTGCGAAAACGAGTGGGATTAAATAAAATAATTAGAGATTGAAAAAGTGAGCAACTGGTCCATAGTTTAAATTTCTGTCCAGAGATGTCATGTTTTAATCTTTGATTTGTCTCAAGCAATCACATGATGTGATTTCGCAGGTCAGAGTTCTTGAACTTTCCAATGCTGTGAAGTGTGAAATTTGTCGCATTAGCTTGCATTCCAGGTCTGCAGCATTCACATTCGTATGAATGGAAGTCTACAGGGAGAAAAGTGCAGTGTGACTGGGATTTTAAGCTGTAACTTTAATTAAACACACCTGATCAAACTAATTAAGGCTCGTTAGAAATCTACAGGTAGGGATGGCTGACGTGAAACTGGCGTTTCGGCACAGTGTCGAGATCCCGAAGCGCAAGTGTTTCGAAACACTGCACCGAAGCATGATCCGAAACACCCAGGTCACGTGACTAAAGTGTTTCGAAACACTTGGTCACGTGACAAAAGCGATTCAAAGCATCGATCATTTCAGAGGCGTTTCAAGACCCGGAGAATCTGCATTTGACTGGCATGATTTAATATAATACTATCTAGTATGGCCTAGTGGACTGTGTGTGTACACTATGGTGCTGTATTTCAAATTTATTTTGGGTTCGAATCTCGACTAGTACAAATACTCCAAAATCATGATTTTATGTATTTTAATCATGTTACTGTTTTATGGTGTAGCCTAGATGGGATACAGCTGCGGATATGCCATCAATTTAGCATCTTTTTTGTAATACTGTAAAACAATAATTCATATTTTTACAGTACTGTGATGGGTTTAGGTTTTGGATAGACGTTAATAAAATACAATGGGAAATTTAATTAATAATATAAATAATTGTTGTTAACTTCTGGCCACAACTGTATCTGATTTAGTAACAACCCTGTTTTATGAACAAAACAATACAAATTTATCTACAAGGTGTTTATTCAGATGTCAGAGCAATGTTGAAACAAAACGATACAATAACAAAGCATTCCCAACTGGTAATAAAGCATTTCAAAACAATTGCATTACCCTGGATTCGAACCTATTATTCCCACATGGTTGTCACAAACTCTAACCGCTCGACTAAACCATTTCATTATTCAGAGCTACAAAGTGGAGTTTAATACCTCAATTTGCTCAACAGTTCTTTGCTGAAGCTGCTTCAGTGCAATACAAATAAAATGACCACTAGATGTCACCGTAGAGTGGTGTTTCGAAACGTTTCGAAGCTTCGACACATTTGCTTCGATAGTTTCAGTGTTTCACGAAGCCTCGCTTTGCCCACCACTATCTACAGGTAATGTTGAAGCAGGGTGGGAACTAAACTTTGCTGCGCTGCAGTTCACCAGGAACTTGGAGTTTGACCCCCATGGTATATAGCATACTTTTAAAGCAACTGCCAACATTTATCAAAATCACATTTCCAATAAAAAAAAAACTAAATTATTTAATGATTAATTAACAAACTCAATCTAAAGCAAATCTAAAGCATTAGGAAAAGTAAACAAAGTTATAAGAAATACTGTGACATTTATTTTGCTGTGTTTAACATCACTTGGGATATATTTAAAAAAGAAATAAAATTTCAAAGAAGACTGAATAATTTTGCCTTTAAATGTATGTCATTCATATATAATACTTACCTTCCAATAAGCTCTAAATACTGTGGCATTATTTGACTCCTGAAATAGAAGGTTAAAAACATAAAAGAAGCAAAACACACACACACACACACACACCATACACACACAGAAAGTGCTGCAGTGAAATGTGTTACTTTCTCCTCGATGCTGACCATGCATAAAAAAACTGAACAGCAAAAAACACAAAATAATTATTTTAATTTTTAAAGTTTCAAATAATTATAAAAAAGAAGCATATCAAAAGAACACACACATACTCTAGACATGGATAGAAACATGTTTGTCAAATACAGACACATACTGTCAATTCTCAATAAAAAGCTTAAAATAATTATAAAAAACAAAAATAAAGCCGGCAACACCGAAAAACCAAAGATCCAATCTTTTATCAATCTTTTATCTTTTAATCGCCTCACAGCTAGTAGGTTACTGGTTCAAGTCCTGCCTAGGTCAGTTGGCATTTCTGTGTTGAGTTTGCATGTTCTGCCCTTGTTGGCATGGGTTTCCTCTGGGTGCTCCGGTGTCCCCCAAAAGTCCAAAAACATGCGCTATCGATGAATTGGGTGAACTAAACCAAGCAGGATGAATGTTTGCTTGACTTTCTTTTACAATTTACTAATCACAAGGAATCAAATAATGTGAATCTTTTAAAAGAAATCAGCTCTCACCAATAATACACAAACAATGCCAGTCAAAAAGACTTTCAATATTTTAAGCATGAATACATTAATGACATTATTATCCAAGCTCATTTGTGTTCTAAATATTGTTTTGAGAAAGCTTTAATACATTTGTTGTTTAAGAATTTATAATAAGAATATTAAAAAAAATATATATAAGTGTGCAGAAGTCTGAGTCCACTAGTATTTTCACCAAAAAAGGATTGAAGTCAGTTATTTCTATATTATTCGGTAGATTGTCAGTTTGACCTATACATTTACATTTCCAAGCATTATTTCTGTCATTATTGTATTTCTAGAGTGAGATTATTGTCTGCGCAAGGAGTCTGAGAATGGCCAGTGCTCCACACACACAGAGATCTGATCATCATCCAGTCTGTCTGGAGTGACATAAAGAAACCAAGTCAACATTTGGTGTGATCACACTTTGTGTATAAAACACATGATGCACTTGCCGATTGTCTTTCAGGGAGCTTTGCAGGAAGGATTTTGAAGCATCTTCGAGATGTTGCCAGAGTTCTTCTGGATTGAGTTTGTCTCAGTTTGTTCTGTTTCTTCATGTCAATCCAGACAGATGATGATGAGATCAGATCTCTGATTAGAGCACTGACTGTAATAATCTCACAGACAATAATCTCACTCTAATATTACAATTAATGACAGAAATAATGCTTGGAAATATAAATTAATAATTTTAAACTGACATCCTACAGAAAATATAGAAATAACTAAAACATAATTATCTCAAACATTTCACTGATAGTGTATATATTACTAAAACAATGCTGATAGTGTAAACAGTGTCATTATTAAAATAACTTAGCAAAATAATGAAGTTTACTACATTCATTGCACAAACACAAATATATATATATATATATATATATATATATATATATATATATATATATATATATATATATATATATATATATATATATTTATCTTATAATCTGCAGTCAATAAAGTCCACCTCAGTCCAATGGATCAAATATGTTCAGTTGTGCTTTTACTTTCTACTTTCTGTTTAATAACTGATTCAGTGTAATGTGTTATGTGAGAGTGAAGAGAGTGTCATTGTTCTCTACAGGTTGAATAAGTGTGGTCTCACAGGAAAAGGTTGTGCTGCTTTGATTTCAGCTCTGAGAACTGAATCTGTCCTGGAGCAATCTAGGATATTCAGTGACTCTTCTCTCTGCTGTACTGGAGGATCCTCGCTGTAAACTGGAGAAACTGGAGTAAGATCATATTTGACTCTCACATGTAAAACAGAGTAAAGTAAATAATAAAAATACATTTTATAAAAACAAAGTAAAAGGAATGTTTGCTTGGCTTTCTTTTGCAATTTGCTGATTGCATAAAATCAAATAATTTGAGTTTTTCTTCTTTTAACTAACATTAACGTCAGCTCTGACAGTCAACAACACATTCACTCTCAGTCAAAAATGTAACATCATCAAATCATTTTTATTTTTATTTATGTCAATGTTGAAAGCATGTTTTGGAAAATAATAGTTTTTACTTTTCAGGATTTTTTTGATGAATGAAATGTTGAAAATAACAATATTTATTTAAAATTCTAAATAAAATGTAGATTAAATATATATTTACAGTGCGTTTTAATCAATTAATGTGTCTTCATGAATGAAACAATGTTATATATACAGTTAAAGTCAGCCCCCCTGTTTATTTTTTTTCCCCAAATTTCTGTTTAACGAGAGCAGATTTTTTTTCAACACATTTCTAAACATTAGTCATTTTACGAGATATTTTTCAAGGCACTTCTATACAGCTTAAATTTATATTTAAAGGCTTAACTGGGTTAATTGGGTTAATTAGGCAGGTGAGGGTAATTAGGCACGTTATTGTATAACAATGGTTTGTTCTGTAGATAGTCGGGGAAAAATATATAGCTTAAAAGGGCTAATAATTTTGTCCTTAAAATTATTTTTAAAAATTAAAAACTGCCTTTATTCTAGCCAAAATAAAACAAATATAACTTTCTCCATAAGAAAATATATTATCAGACATACCGTGAAAATTTCCTTGCTCTGTTAAACGTCATTTGGGTAATATTTAAAAAAGAAGAAAAAACTTCAAAGGGGGCTAATAATTCTGACTTGAACTATATATATATATATATATATATATAAATAAATGTTTAAATTGCAATAATATCTCCTAATATTGAAGTTGATATAATTTGTTTTGATGAAATAACACTTCATTACTGAGCCGAAGAGACTTTTGTCAAAAACATTAAAAACCTTAATTATCCTAATATTTTCACTGACCATGTTCAAATTTCTTCTGATATAAACAGCACAGCACATTTCAGCATTGCTAACAGTATTGCTAACATCATTATTTAAATGATTTTGCACATTGACAAGTTTAGTTCATGCACTGCGCAGACGCATAAATATTTATCTTATTTACAATGAATAGCTGTTTTCCCTGGTTGAAAGATTGTTGTGTTCTGATCATGTTTTGTCATCTGTGACATTTTAGTTCATCAAGCATGTTGATTTGTGTTGTTAGTTTGTACTTTAATAACCGATCCAGTGTTCAGCTGATGTGATGTGAGAGTGAAGAGTGTGTCATTGTTCTCTACAGGTTGTATGATTGTGGTCTTACAGATAAAGGTTGTGCTGCTTTGGCTTCAGCTCTGAGATCAAACCCTGAACACCTGAGAAATCTGAATCTGTCCTGGAATAATCTAGGAGATTCAGTGACTCTTCTCTCTGCTGTACTGAAGGATCCTCGCTGTAAACTGGAAACACTGCGGTAAGATCATGTTTTACACTCACACATAAATATATATATATATATATATGTGTGTGTGTGTGTGTGTGTGTGTGTGTGTGTGTGTGTGTATGTGTGTGTGTATATATATATATATATATATATATATATATATATATATATATATATATATATATATATATATATATACATATATATGTGACGCTCATTTTTTGTGTCCATGTGGTCTAAATCAATTCAAAAAGGATACAGTTTCAAAATAAATAAGCAAATTACTTGCGTACATTATCGTTTTTGAGGACCAAGTCAAATTTTTTTGGTTTTAATTCATTTTTAAGATAATTTTTAGGGGATGATTGCAAGAATGTCAATGTGGTATAACTAAACAAAAAGTTTATCTTGTTTAAAAAACGTGAAATTCTCAGTGAAACATCGTATCAGGTAGTTTGGCAAAATTTTACATTAGACATTTAATAGTAAATATAGGACAATTGTTCTAAATATTATAAATAATTGGGGGAATTTTGTCTGTCAACTCAATTTCCTGAAATGTCAAGATGATGTAACCACAATTTATTGAGCCATTTTGTTAATATTGTGCACAAGACATTGAAACAAGAAATTGTATCACAGAGAAGGACTCTTGGCAAGATAGCTTTATTAACATCTCATTTGATGCGAGATCACTTCCTTATTGGGCCTTATTAAATATTATTTGTCAAAAACATTAAAAAAATATTAATCATCTAATAGTTTTTACTGATTGTATGCATATTTCTACTAATATAAACACCACAGCACATTTCAGCAATGTCAACAGTGTGAACAGCGTCATTATTTCATTTATTTAGCTATTATTCTTATTGTTTACACTGAATAGATGTTTATCCTGCTTGAATAAAACTTTCTATTTATGATCATGTTTTCTTCTCTGTGACATTTTAGACCTCAGACTAATGATCCATCAGACATGTTTATTTGTGCTTTTAGTTTCTATTTACATTTTAATAATAGATTCACTGAACTGATGAGATGTGAGAGAGTGAAGAGTGTGTCATTGTTCTCTACAGGTTGAGTTATTGTGGTCTTACAGATGAAGATTGTGCTGCTTTGGCTTCAGCTCTGAGATCAAACATTGAACACCTGAGAGATCTGAATCTGTCTGGGAATTATCTAAAAAAGTCAGTGACTCTTCTCTCTGCTGTACTGGAGGATCCTCGCTGTAAACTGGAGACACTGAGGTAAGATCAAATCTGACTCTCACATGTGAAACAGTGTAAAGTATCTGTAAAGTGTTGAGTCTCTTTCTGCAGCTTCTCTGATCTTCATTATTTCAATAATGTTTTTCTTTTTGGTTGTTTTTATGAAATAAGCAATGATAGCACACAAATTGCTGATGAAGGAGGAATGGGATGGTCAGTTTATTTTAGTCATAAGAGTGTTTTAATTCATCAGTGGGCATTTTATCCAACAGTCTGTGACTGAAGTACAGGAATAATTCAGTAAATGTAGAGTAGGATACAGGAGGTGTTGATGTCCAGATTGTGACTCTGACAGGCTGATTTGACTGATATCCATTATTGTTATTTTAGTGGAAACTGCAATATATTTCACTCTTTAGGATCCTTTGATGAACAGAAAGTTTAGAATAACTGCAACTGTTTGACTTAATCTTTTCAACAATGCAATATTTTACAGTCGTTTCTGATCATTTATTGTGTCTTTAATGAATCTAAATATTATTTACATCTTTAATGGCACTTTTGAATGCTGATTATATTTTTTATTATGAAAGACCAAAACTGATTCAACATTGATAAAAATAAAAGTTTCTTGAGCAGCAAATCAGCATATTATAATGACTGTAGTCTAGAATAATGATGCTGAAATACAAATATATTCACAGAGAAAATAGATATTTTACATTGAAGTAAGGATTCATTTTATTATCTAATAATGAAACTTCTTTCAAATACATTTGAAACTGTGATCTCAACCTTTTAAACTGTAGTGTAATCAGATATTTATTCAGTTTGATGTTTTATGATCATATTTTGTGTTTTGTGACATTTCAGACCTCAGTTCAATAATTCAACTAATATATTTATCTGTGCTTTTAGTTTGTGCTTTAATAATGGATTCAGTGTTAAACTGATGTGATGTGAGAGAGTGAAGAGTGTCGTTGTTCTCTACAGGTTGGGTGATTGTGGTCTCACAGATAAAGGTTGTGCTGCTTTGGCTTCAGCTCTGAGATCAAACCCTGAACACCTGAAACATCTGGATCTGTCTGACAATCTACAAATAATATCCTCATGGAAGCTGTTCTCTGATCTGATGGACGACCCACTGAATAAACTGGAATTTTGTGTGAGTGTTTTTAAGCTGTAATGTTTAGTAACAGGCCTCATGTGTGTAAATGCACAATATATGATGATAATTCAACTTCTCTTTAGTCTGTGCTTTAAACTGTGGAGTTTGTAAACACTTATTTATCTGCTTTAATTTTTCTGAAATGGAACTGCTGATGTGACGTGACAGCAATAATGTCTCACTTACAGATTGGATTGTGCGTGTGTGTGTGTGTGTGTTTGTGTGTGTGTGTGTGTGTGTGCGCGTGTGTGTGCGCGTGTGCGTGTGTGTGTGTGTGTGTGTGTGTGTGTGTGTGTGTGTGTGTGTTTTATTGCAGGATTTTCAGTGTTCAGGATTTCCTGGTTATGAATAAGGAGAAACGTCACAGACACACAATCAACACACACTGAAGACACACAGACTCGCACTGACTTCACAACACTGGCTTATTTTCATATGCAATAACCAGGAAAAGGAAAATGACGTCATTATATTGTTCAGATCGTCCAGATATTGATTATAGTGGAAAATGGGATTTTAAAATAACAAAACTAAAGCACTTCTATTGTAATCAGTCAGTCATGTTGACATTGTGTAAATATGAAATGTGTCGTGCAGCACAGACAGCTTTGTTCCTTATATTGGAAAAGTAAGATTCTTTTGTTTAATTACTCTTTTAGTATAATCTTGGTTTTACAAGGTTTACTCTGAGAAAATCAAGACTTTGGCTACAGAAGAGATGTTGTGTCTGAAATGTGTCAGCAGAGGTCGACAAAGTGAAAGTAATTCATTTAACTGAGCATTTAATTCACTACAATGTTTGTAAATGAATGATGTGTAATTATTTAACTGATTTAACACGCTCATCTATTAATATTCCCACTTCACTTTTCTTGATGACAAACATTTCTGATGCCCACAACAAAACTCATCTGAATCAGCCACTCTTGAAGACTTCTTAAATATCATATTAACATATTTAGTAAAGATGAGCTGATTGAGGGGTCAGATAATACTGATGCTACAAAAAGATATGCTCAGTGTTTTGACTAAACACTGTTTATTACTGAGAGGGTTCTTTAGTTCTTATAGTAAATGTTTATGGTGTCATACTTTTCATGTCAGTGTCAAAGACATCATAATAGGAGCAGTTTGATGTGTCCATGTTTGTATGATTTTTGTATGTTTGAATTATTTATATGCATGTTTGTATAGAGATAATACACGTTTTGTCAAAAACCTTATGCCCCTGAAAAGACTTTTATAAATACCCAAATAAACACATTCAGCTCGTCACTGTAGTTTACTTTCCCTTTCTTCTTCTGCATCAAACCATGCAACGCTTAATCCCTGAGTTTTCCCCATAACGTGACTCTAAAACAGTTTAAAACTATTTAATATGTAAACTACAAAGTAAAGCTTTCCATACTTGTATCACAACCCAGCATTATATGCTTCAAACCGCGTTTTATTTATTTATTTATTTATTCATTTATTTATTTATTTATTTATTTGTTTGTTTGGTTTGTTTGTTTGTTCATTCATTCATCCATTCATTTATTTTAATCATTTATTTATTTATGTAATACTACAGACTCTTATTTTGAAATTGTCTTCGGTCTGCATCGTCACCCGGAAATACTCAGAGCAGTCGGTGAACATGCTGTACGCTGTTGCTTTTAATGCTGTAAATTTCACCACAAAATGATTAAATTACTGCTACTTGAATGGATGTAATTCAGTTTATCATGTTTTAAAGGTTTTCAGGTTGGTAAGTTGATTTAAACAGTTTTTGTCATGGTTTTCATCCCAAAAAATAGTTTTAACTGATTGATCGTCCAATGTTTATTTGATCTCCCCCACTTCATCTTTAAATTAATATCGCTTCACTCTGTATTTATGATTGAAATCCGTTTGTGTCTCCATTTCTTTCATTTATATCAGTTTTGTGTTTATTATTTGAAGTGTTTAATAGAGGCAAAGTTGGTTTTGTCTTCACACACTCGGAATTTCTCCTTAATAATATAATTTCAGAAAAGTATTTGCGAATTCTTAATAGTGAAACCATATTATCAGTCGATGAATATCAAAGTACAACACTGTTCACAGTGAGTTAAATGATGATAATGTTGTGTTGAAGTCATCATCACATGCGATTTCAAACCCAATATTTAAAGTACGTTAGCGTGGTAAAATCATATATAGAGGTAAAGTTGGTTTAAATTTGCACATTCGTCCATTTAGCAGTCTCTATATTGTTTACCATGCTACTTTGAATATTCGTTCGGAATTAGCCTGCAAGTATGACTTCTAAACAACATTAACACTATCTAATTCACTGTGAACAGTACTTTTGATAGTCGTTTGCTGCTAATGTGATTTCCCTATTTAGAATTTGCAAAGAATACTTTTCTGAACTTCTATTATTAAAGAAAATGTCTGAATATCCGTATATAAAACCAAATTTATCTCTATAAATCATATAGGGAAAGTGACAATCAACAAATGTTCGAATATAAACCACCTTTACTTCATTAAGTATTATGATGCATTACTGCTTTCTTTATTTATACTTGTCATAGCTCTATTCTTTATTCAGGAACTGCTGTTTGAAGTGAAATGGGAAAGAAGAAGGTAAAGGACAGAAGTGCTGGAACAGACAGCAGCTCTGAGACTGCAGGTACATGATTGACTGATGAACAATCAAATACTAACAGTGATTTTAACCCTTGTGTGCTGTTTAAATTGTCTCCACTTTTATTGAGGTTAAGTTGGTTTTATCTTCACACATTCAGACTTTCCTCTTAATATAATTTCAGAAAAGTAGTCATCATATTATATTCAATCATATTAGCAGCCAATGACTATCAAAGTACAACATTGTTTACAGTTAATTAAATAGTGCTAATGTTGTTTTGAGGTCATACTTAAATGTGATTTTAGTCTGAATAGTCAAAGTACCATGGTAAACAATATAGGTAGCAGCATGTCATAAGTTGAAACAGAACGAGTGTGCAAATATAAAACCAACATCACCTTAATTCCACTTTTTTTATGTTGGTGGCTGTTTTTGCTCCATTGACTTCCATTATAGTGACATTTTTTGGTTGCAAAGCCTCAACACCAAATAATCAAAGATTCTTGGTTGTTGTTGGGTTTCCCTGTTGGGAAGAGGTAAAATGTGTAATTTTTACTGTTGATCATCAGTTGGCACCACTAACCGTTTAGATAGGCCTGTGCAAAAAAATGTTTCTGCCGTTTATATGGAGTAAAACAGCAGATAATTGTGTGTGTGCATAAATATACTTACTTTGTTTACTTTGTTCTAAGAGCTGGGGTCCGTTCTTCGTACGTGGATTACTCAATTAGCTGGATTTGGTTGTTGATGATTTGACACTATCCAGGATCGTTTCATTCTTCAAAACTCATCCGAGAGTTGTTGTCTTGGCAATAGCTCTGATATCTCAAACCTGCTTGGGAGCAGGTTCATTTAATATAATCAGGATTAGATTGAGTCTTTTAAAGCAAAGGTAATACTAAAAGTATGTACCAAATGTTGATATTTTCTTACAGTAATAACCTATAGATTATATACACTTGGGAAAATAATAGAAAAAAAAAATATATATATACATTTATAATAATTTGTAACATTTAATATTAAATAATTAATATTCATAATATATTATTAATTATTTAATGTTTGTATACATATACATTTAAAAATATATGTAAAGAAAAACGTATACAATCTGCACTCTGAAAGAAAATTACAAAATGGGGTGGTTCTCCCCAAGGGGATCAAAGAGAACATTTATTAAAATTGACTTTTTAGATACAAACACATACTATTTGTGCATGATAATAGACATGCACAATATTCGACTGTATGTTGTTTGTTTTATAAAAGAATAATAATTTATGCAGTCATGAACATGTTTTGACAGCTAATATGACAGTGATTTGAGGCTTTGCAGAAGTTGCAGACACCTTTACCGTATCAAAATGCTTTTTTGATACAAAATTAATTTGCAGATTAAGAATCTTAATGATAAGTTATAATAATAAGTCAATAACTCAATTAACCACTTAAACTTTGCGGACCCGGTACTGGGTACTTTCGCTTTCAGATTTAAAGGGCTAGCGTTGCACCAGACCCCCGTAAGTGGTGTCGTTTGAAAGTGTAGCATCTATATTTTATGCACATATGCATCAATTTGGTTTTTATTCTACTGTATAAAAGTTATTTACATTTAAATACACAGTATTTTGGATACCCGAGCTAGGTATTTTAAATTGGTTCATTTTCATATTTTTTATATGACACATGTACAAATTACAGCTCAAATGAAAGCTCTTGCCTGTGCTCATACAGTTCTAGCATTACTTTTTACTGAATTATATTCATATGCCAAACAGTTGTTGAATGAACTGTGGTGTTTCTATGGTGCAGAAATGTAAACAATACATTCATGATCAGTAAGCAGCCCCAGATAGCACAGACAGCTGTCATCTCTTACCTTATGCTGTGCCCTTCAGTGCCATTCTCTGTTTTTGAGATGATGTGCAAAAGTAATCCTTTTATATGTCTGATGTGGACCAAACACAGTGAATTATGTTTGATCAAACAAAAGAATAGTGAAATATGAAAACAATGATTGATCCCTGTGGCTTGTACAGCACCTCTCATCAGTTGGAATTCAATAACTTTTGCATAGATTATGGTAGAGACCTTTTTCTTTTTTCCTATAATTACAGACATGTGCAGGAACCACCAAAGTTAATTACAGCAGGCTAGACCACACAGAACATCAAAGGTACACTTTCAAATTTGAGTTTATAAAAAAAAAAAAAAAAAAGCGCCTCTTTTTTTTTTAGGTGTTTATTATAACACAGACGACATATACAGTTATTTTAAACACTTTCAATAGTGTTTTATGAAAATTCATAGGGTTTTCTGTATCATATGTGTCAAAAGAAGATTATTCAGCAAAAATCATTCCATTTGCTGAAGCACAGAGAAAGTTGTGGCAACATTAAGATTCAAATCCCCATAGAGGGGATGAAAACATCCCCGACAGCACACAAGGGTTAACATCAAACCCCACTAATGATTCTCCTGCTGCTTTATCAGGGCCCTCCTGCACTCACATTCGTAAAGGAACAGAGAACAGCGTACTGAAGAAAGCCTGTCTGAATGAGCACTGGAGCTCCTGTCAAGACTGTGAGCAGGACAAGCCTGAAGAAAAGCAGATCTTAGAGGATCAGACTGACGGAGAGAGTCCAGCTGTGTGGATGTGTCTGAAATGTGGACACAGAGTAAGTGATCATTAGCTCACTATTGACCAGTGTTTTTGTGCAGTTAGTCACAAAATAACTTGTTACTGTAATGAAGGTTCTTATCCACTGAAAAATTAAAGTATGGGATTTCTTTTCATGTTTAGGGAATTACAGTTGGGGGGGGATTCAGTTCAATTGGGACGCTTTGATTAATGGCAAAATGTGTCCTGAATTTCCTCCACTGTTCAGAGAATTTCTGTATAGACAATTTCAATGTAGTAATGTTATTGGCCCTTGAACATTTCCTGCTTGTTCTTATAACATATTATAACTGTAACAAGAGGCAATTATACTTTCATGTTAAAACATCTATCATGCGTTGGGAGACTCGATTATTTATCAATATGTGGACTTTTTTGGATTCTCGAAAGCTATAGAAAATAAAAATGTTAAATAGGAAATACATTAGGACCAGTGTTATTGTTTACATTCTTCAAAATGGTCTGTAAATCTATTCAGTGAAGCAGAGTAATTGTATTTTTTTGTTATACAAATATATTTTACAACCAAAGAAATTTGCATTTACCTAGACCATCGATCATGCTTAGGAATCATTGAATTGGGCGATCCTCTTCCGTACCCCCATCACAGCAGCAACCTGCTCGCGAAAAATACCCACTTAGAACCCATTTACACTAATACATCTTAGTTTTAAAATGGCATTTTAGAAAGAAAACAATCCATGTCCACACTGGCGTTTCACCTAGCATTTCTGAAAAGCCCTCATTTCACACTATACCGCTTAAAATTACGTGACCACACACGCGCGCGCACGCACACAAACACACACACACACACAGTCATGCACTGCAGCGTACATGCATGTCTGAGCTCCAGCATTCAGCAGGTGCTTTGAGCACAAAACCCCAGAAAGCAGTACACTTCGGACAGTTTATCAAGGATGTACCGCTGGATCACGTCTCATTATAGTTGTTAAACATGATAGTTAAATAATCTTGCCTCTATCCAACAACTCTTTGGTTTTTTGAATCAATCAGGTAATGTGTCACAGCGTCAGTACACTGCTTCAATCTTTCACTTTCATGCTTGTACTTAGTAATTTTTGTGAAAACCTCAGATACTGTTGGTGTGTATAGACTATCCTGTCGAAAAATGCGGCGAAAATCCTACACAACAGTAATAGTTTGATTGCGGTGTTTACATGCATGTCTGTACTGCACTTCAAAAATCCCACTAAAATCGGCATACTCCACGTCTTAATTTGATTTCTGTTTAGCTGGATTATGACCTTAATTGGAATAAATAAATAAAAAATCGCTGTTTACATGGTTGACTCTTAATTAGAGGATTGTCTGAATCGTATTAAAATCAGATTGCTGGTGTCCATGTAAACATACTCACTATTTCTGCTGTTCTGTAGGCGCCACCTGCTGGATCAGCATTACTTTTTAGTATATGAATAACGTTTTACTTTTGGGTTAGTTTCTTACAATCAGTATTTAGTAAATATAAGTTAAAATGTCACCAATGTTACCGGTTGAACTGTAAAATGGCTAAAGTGGTTTTAAAATGTATGGAAAGACTATTAAAGTCTTAAAAGGTATTGAATTTCACTCTCTGATTTCTGTATATACAATGAAAACACTGTTGTGCTTCTCATCAGGGATGCGGGAGATCAGGGAATCAGCACGCTATCAAGCACTACGAGACCCCTCGCTCTGAGCCACACTGTTTAGTTCTCAGCCTGGACGTCTGGAGTGTCTGGTCAGTCACACACACACACAGATCCTCAGTGAAGTGTGCAGGTGTGTGTTCAGACTCTGATCTTCTGCTCTGATGTGCTGCAGGTGTTACATCTGTGATGATGAAGTGCAGTATTCCAGCACAGGGCAGCTGGCACAGCTGATCACTAATATCAGAAAACAAGTGCTGACGGCTCCTGACAAGAGGAATGCCAGCAAAAGTAGGTGTTTAATTCTAATTGGATTTGCAGTGCCTATAGAAAATCATCATACTTTGTGATTATCTATAACTTTGCTCACGTTACACCCTGCTTTCAAGAGTCCTCCAGGATAAAGGTGTAGAAAGCCACAGATTAGTAGAAGAGTGCAAAACATTTCAAAGGCTGTAAAGGTTATTTGTAATGTTATTTGATTTCAGGCTGTATGACAAATAAAGTCATTATTTCAAAAGGGTAATGATGATGTTCTATAGGCACTGTATATAATGTCAGCTTAATTTGATCAGTGTGGTTATTTCATTTGGCTGATGCTCAAAGTTCCACCTACGTCTTTTGAAATGCCTTTTGAAACTATATTTAAACACATATTTAGTGCAGTACGTGTATACTTGTTTTTTAGTCACTTAATATTCTAAAATTGTGTTTAACGTGCTAAATCCACTGCAAGACACAACAGGTGAGATCAGGTAAACAGTTAAATAATATACATAACCATGTTGATAGATGATCAAACACGGGAAATTAATGCTGAAGTATTGATTACATTTTCAAGTATTCATATAAGGCATTCTATAGTTAAATGTGCATTATATTACTATTCATTTCCTAAACATGACAGATTCAAAAATCTTCAAAAAACATGACCGATTCAAAAATCTTAATGTTTTTTCCCCGGATGTTGGTAACAATCAAAGAAAACAAATCTAATTAGTTTACAAATGAAGTTATGTGTAATAAAATTAAATGACGCCGGGAAAAAGTATTGAACACATGAATAAAGGGAGGTGTAGAAAGGTTGTGAAAGCCCAGACAGCAGCTGAAATCTCTCAGTAGTTCTTCAGCAACCCTCTGCCCTTCCTCAGTGTAAATGAATATCAGCTGCTTCAGTTTAACATCTACATAAGCAGGATGATAAAGATGAAACCAGAGTGGTCATTTCAGCAAGACAGTGGTCCAAAACACAGCCAAGGATACTTTAAAATGCTTTCAGAGACAGGAACTCAAGCTGTAGAATGGCCCAGTCAGTCACCTGATGTGAATTCATTATAAAATACAAAATAATGCTCAGATTTGATAGACGAGACCTACAGAACCATCAAGATTTTAACACTCTGTTGAAGTTTGTGAATAACTCACACCAGAGCAATGCATGACTTTATTCTTCATAGGAGAGTCGTCTTTAAGCTGCCATCACCAAAAAAGCCTTTTATATAAAGTATTAAATATGTTTCAGTAGTTCAGCTCTATCTCCTTGTGTCATTTCATTGTTATTACACACAACTCAATTTTCAGATTTGTTTGTTTAGTTATATTTTTATGTTTGTATTGTTTGGGTTTTTACTAAAATCTAGTTTAATTTCATGTCAACAGCTCCTTTAGAAATATTATCCCCAGAAAAATACATGACGTGTTCAATACTTATTTTACCGACTGTATCTATAAAAACTGTCAACGGCCGTATTATTGTAGTTAAATATTATTTAAATTATGCTAAAATTACCTAAAAACCTGGACTATATAGATCTGAATAAAACTGTAAAGTTTGATCTTAGTGCTGCTTGAGGGATTTCTGTCTTATTTTGAATAAAGATATGTATCATAAATGAAGTCTAGAGATGCAAAATAGATGAAGAAGGATAATAAAAAATAAATAAATGTGGATTTTGGATGTTTTCTTCCTAGTAGTCTGAAGTAGGCATGCTTTTGGAAGTAAAATGGATCTAAGTGAATGAATTCTAACAATGGTTTTGCCTCAAACATGATTTATTTTCATTATAATTCTACAGAAAGTTGGAAAGAAGACATCTCTGTGATGAATTCTGCAGAGCAAACGCAGGATGAAGAGAAAGGGAAGAAGGGGAAGCAGAAGAGCAGCTCGAAACAAGAGGACAGTCCTAAAAGCCATCAATCAGCCGCCGCTGGAAGCTCAGCTGTGGTGTCTGTCAGGGGTCTCAGTAATCTGGGAAACACGTGTTTCTTCAATGCAGTCGTGCAGGTACAGAGTCAGAGTGGGAGACGCTACACATGACAAACACAAACTCTTTTACTGTGAGTAAACAAGCTCTTTTCTTTTGTCTCCCTCTCAGAGTTTATCACAGACACAGTATTTGAGGGAGCTGCTGAAGCAGATTGCAGAGGAGAAGAGCAGCTTCTCCATCACTCCAGCACTGTCATCTGAGCTGGTACTGAAGCTCACACTCATCATGTTCCTCATTTTACACATAAAGCTTCATCTGACTGGACGTTTTCACATCATGTTTTCAGGATCCTCTTCAGATCCAGCTGGAAAGGCCTGGATCGCTCACTCTGGCTATGTGTCAGCTAATGAATGAAATCCAAGAGACCAAGAAAGGTGTTGTGACTCCTAAAGAGCTCTTCACACAAGTGTGTAAAAAGTAAGTAGTTGCTTAAAAATGCTCTCAGCACAGACACTTCATATAATCAGTGTATGGACGATTGATTAATTGTCCATTATAGTTTAAATCTATATGGTCTGAACAAGGTGACACGATGGGGGTAGCACAATCGCCTTACAGCAAGAAGGTCGCTGGTTTGAGCCTCAGCTGGGTCAGTTGGCATTTCTGTGTGGAGTTTGCATGTTCTCCCTGTGTTGGCGTGGGTTTCCTCCAGGTGCTCTGGTTTCACCCACATTTTAAAAACTTATGCTATAGGTGAATTGGGTGAACTAAATTGGCAGTAGTGTATGTGTGTGTTTGAATGCAAGAGTGTATGGGTGTGTCCCTGTAGTGTGTTGCGGCTGGAAGGGCATTCGCTGCTTAAAAAAGCCAGAAAAGACTAAAATAAAGGAAAATGGATGAAAGAATTAATATTACAATTAATTTTGAACGGTCATGTGAAAATGAAGAGCAACATTTTACAAATAGATCAGATTCATCTGATTGGCTGTACTGTATTTGTGATACTCTTCTGATTGGTTGTTCACAGAGCTCCACGTTTTAAAGGCTTTCAGCAGCAGGACAGTCAAGAGCTTCTGCGGTACCTTCTGGATGGCATGAGAGCTGAAGAAGCGAAAGTATGAACCAATGAACTTGTGTCTTATTGTTTTTCTTTTCTTTCATATCAAAATAACTTTTTTTTTTTGTTTCCTTTATTTTTCAGAGAGTAAATTCAGGAATTCTGGAGGCTTTAAAATCTTCTGGCAAAAACTTTGAGGCTGAGCAGACGAAGAAGATCGTTAAAGGTATAATTAAAATCATTGCTGGATTAACAGAATGACAAGTTATATACTTTAAATCAAATCAAATCACTTTTATTGTCACATCATCATCAGCAGCATGTGTGCTATGATGAGTGAAAAGCTTAGGTGCTGGCTCTATACAGTGCAAAATACAACAACATACTCCCAAAAAAACAGGACAATGTAAAATTGGCAATGTTGACAGTGATATGTACAATGAATAGGTGTCCACATAGTTTTAGGCAGTATTGTTTGTATGGGTATGGGTTGGTTAAAGTGCAGTGCATGCTACATAATGATGGTGTGTGGTGAGGGGTATGGAAGAGTCTGTGTGGGGTCTGTTAAGTGTTCATCAGCCTGATAGTCTGAGGGAAGAAACGTTTCTTCAGTCGGCTAGTGCGTGACCAGATGCTGCGGAACCGTCTGCCTGAGGATAGCTAAGAGAAAAGTCTATGGCTTGGGTGGCTGGAGTCACTGATAATTCTCTTGGCTTTCCTCATGC